ACTTCAAGTTTACATTTGTTTTCAATTACATTTCAAAGATTTCATCAAGATGTAACACCAAGAATATTGCTGCTCAGTATTTTGTAGGAGGTTTATCCGGTTTAAACCTCAGACAGTGACTAAAACTATTTAAGTGTCCTGGAAAAACTGTCAGCCAAATGACCTTTATTTGCTCCAATGAATTTAGAATGCAGGACTGCTTATCTGAAATTCCATCACTACAGAAACAAATTACTAATACAAGAGAAAATACAACTCATAATTTCTCTCTAGATTAAGCTGGGTGGTGTCCATGGTGAGAATGATGTAATGCATTTTACATAGACTTCACACAAACTAAACCAAATGTTCAGCTTAACATGTCCAGCTATCAGGCGCCCGCATGTGTGCCCCAACCCCAGACCTGGATCCAGGGTGGGGCCAGGGCGGTGTCATACCGGGCTACATCACGGTCCATGATTTAACTCTCTCCATAAGGGTTTTCTGAGCTGCTCTTATTCTCACCCATCACCTAGAAACTTTTCGCCATGGGAGACCCTACCAGGGGCATAATGCCCTGGGCAACATAGCTCCTAGGATCATTCGGGCACTCAAACAACCCCACCTCGTTAAGGTGGCAGCTCGCAGGGTTATATAAGGATAACATCTATTTGGTATTGTTATATGATCAATGCTTTATGCTCGACATGTTAAAGCTTAGAATACTAGTTGGATTGAAAAAACTAGGACACCTCTTAAATGAATTCATGAATTCTCTTTTCTTTTTAATGTAATATAATTACACTACAACCCAAAACACAATAAACCAATAAATACAGTTTCCAGCAGAGGAAAAATTAAAGACACCTTAATTCCTACTATGTGTTACAAATGTTTCCTCTTTGAATACCTACCGTAAAAGTTAAACCTATGCACCTCTAATTCTGATTTAAAATCGCTGAGCTTTCATATTAACACTAGCAAGGAGCATGCTGTAGTTTACAGGACTGCATTTGGCATCTCAAAGTTTTCTTTTAAGTCAAAATTGCGTAAATGGCCCAGACCTGGGCATGTAGGGAGTCATTTTTAATGTCCTCCGATTGAAGACCTTAAATGTAACAGTATAGTCTCAACCAGTAACACACTTCCACATAACAGTTAGAATCTGTTGCAGGTTTAAGGTGCCTCATTACAAAGATTATTCCAACAGTTATAAATTCTGAGTGTTTTCTTACAACCACAAAAATAAAATTTGAAGTATATCTGAGTTCTTGTTGAAATCATGTTTTTTGCTGCCTGGATGAAATGCAGCCTACTTCCTCTTCAGATTGGTCTTGAAAAGAAATGACATTGGTTTACCAAAAAAATCAAAAGCACTGTGATCTAATAATAGTAATAAAAATAAAAGCAATGCACAATACCAACAACAGTATCAGTAATGTTAGTAATATATTAATATTGATGTTATTGTTATAAATATGGTAGTAGGATTTTTCAACAAAGCTGTTTTATGCCACAACTATAGGGGGAAGTTTTTTGTTTGGATCATTATACTAGAGTTTCCCAGCTTGTCTCAATCCTTCCCTGTTTTCAAAGTCTATACATTTTTCTGGTATTCTGAAAGCAGTTAACATCAATGCAATTCATTGAATCTATGAACTGTTCAGTGGTTTAAAGTAGAAGGTGAAAAACCAAACAGTTTGATTATTCTGTGATTTATAATTGGTCAAATCAATCAGTATTTTTATGTACTAAGTTTGACCTCTGAAACATCCATCCATCCCTTTTCCATCATGCTTATCCCTGTTGGGGTGGTGAGGGGTGCTGGTGCCTATCTCCAACTTTCTACTGGCAAGAGGCGAGATACACCCTGGACAGGTCGCCAGTCCATCACAGGGCAACACAGAGACAAACAGGACACACATCGGTTCACACACACACACTCACACCTAAGGAGAATTTGGAGAAGCCAGTTAACCTAACAGTCATGTTTTTGGACTGTGGGAGGAAGCCAGAGTACCTGGAGAGAACCCACGCATGCTCAGGGAGAACCTCTGAACCTGTATCATTTATTATTGTGCACTACAAAATTTGTTCATCCATTTTCAAAAGCAGTGCGTGTTTTATTGCTTTGCATGATTCTGTAAAAAAAAAAGAGCTTCATTTGGCAGGATTTTGACTTTTCTAGCTTTTTTAGTTCTTCTTTGCCCAATTTTCTCCTTATAGAGGTCCTAGCACTAGGTTGGCAGTTCATATATTGTTTTTCATTTGCATCAGCATGATTTCCTCACCTGTATTGAGGTAACAACAAATTAGGTATTGAAATGATAGAATGAAAACTGAAAATGATACCTGTCTGCTATAATAAAAAATGCATGAGTTTAAATTCCTAGAAACTGATTTTTGAACAGCATGTAATCATTAATGATATGAGTGACTCATAAGAAAATGTTTAGAGTGATTTTTGGACAACATTTGAAGCCATGTTGTACCGTGTTGACAAAGTGGGGGATTTACTAAATGCATATTTGTTATGAATATTTTTCTCAGAATCTATCATACAAAAATTATTTGATGGGTTTCTCTTTAAATGAGAGTAAAGCTGTGAAACAGAATTGTATTTATTGGTGTGTTAATGTTTATCTATATGCATTTTCTGGAAAAATATGGAAATCAAAATTAGGATTTAAGACCTAAAATGAATAAAAAATGATGGTAAGACTTAAAATTCAAATCCCCGGAAAGCTTCCATCCAATCTGTCTAACTACGGACAATGTGGCAACGTTAAAGAAGTGCCAACATCTATATAAGGATCTATATAAATACTTATTAAATTAGTGATGTTTATTTCTGAGTCTCGGACTGTGCTTCTGTTTGAGATATTAACAAAATCTATTTTGTTAGTGTTCGGACATTTTTCCCCACAAGCAGGTCTTTACAGCAAAACCAACATGATTCTAACACGTTATTGACCTTTGAATATATATATAGGGTTTCGCTTAGAATTAGTCAAAAGGGAATTTCTGTGCCTGTCAAGCAGCCCTCTTATGCACGCATGACACAGGCGACACATAAATGAAGAAGGAACATATATGAGGAAGGAAGCAGCCAGCTCTTTTAATAATTATTTGCTTTGAACTGTGCAAAACCACACAAATACACAGAACCACCAACACACATACAGAAATAGCTGGGTCAAGAAACAGACATTGTGACGCCAGACGCTGAGGCAGACTCCTCCAACTGAGATGTATGTTTAGAGTTACCCAGATACTTCTCGTTATTTTGAAGTCACTTAACCCTCACAAAGAAATATCAAATTGCACATTCTGGATGAGCGTTATGCAAAATAAAATAAATATTTTAGTTTATTTACATATTTATGGGGGGAAGGAGCCTGAGCTTGTGAAAGAGGTGGACCAATACTGGCTAGAAACAGTACAGCTGGGCTCCACACATACAGTAGCCTGGGCTCTGGAACCAAAAACAGTGTCACATGCTTGTCAGGAGGCCAAGCAGTCTTGGAGGTGGGACCCAAATCGGTTAAAAGAAAGACATGCACCAAAGAGTTTTCAACTGACAAGTCTTTAACTTTTTTCTGGTGCAGCACATCAACCAAGCCACACTAACCCAGAACAATGGCAGACATGTTTCTTATATTGAGGTGGAACTTAGTTGGAAGAAACCTTTATAAAAAGGGATATACAGCTGCAAAACAACAAGAAAAAAAAAATAATTGTTTTAAATGAACAGCTAATTAAGAAATATATTTACCAATCAATACAAAAAACCTATTTTAATTTAACCAAAACAAATACTCAAAACTTAACATAGAAAACACTATACATGAGACCAAACTACCTCCCTGATCGAGGTGACATTTAAGGTGACAGCGCTCAACAAGGCAAAGCTATACACTTAAACAAGATTGAAGGGAAAAGATTTCAGTGCAGCTTGGTGGAAAACAAAAGGATTAGCAGGGGAGTCATTGGAGAAGTGCCTCTAAAAGTAACTGACAAAGAGATTCTTGAAAATATAAGTGGTGCAAAAGTAAAAGAAGTGAAATGGTTAAAAACAGCACGAAATGGAGAAAGGTGTGACAGCTGATCAGAACTGATCAAATTTGAAGAAGAGCAGCTAACAAGGGAAGTTTTCCTTGTATATATGAGCTATAATGTCAAAATATACAATCCTCCGCCTCTGAGATGTTTTAAATGCCATAAATCTGGTCACATAGCAGCTGTATGTAAGGGCCAGCAACAATGTGGAAGGTGTGCTGGAGAGCACGGACATGGAAAGTGTGCTAAGGAGGTGAAAATGAAATGCTATAACTGTGGAGAACATACTGTTGCAAATCCAGGTTGTGAAGTGAGCAAAACATCTGAAGAGATAAGAAAAGTGAAATCTGAGCTCGGATTAAGTTATGCTGAAGCTACAAAAAGAATCTCATCCCAGTCAGAAAGACCGAAATCAGCAGTGGCACAAATGAAATATGCAAAACCTCTGGAGGAGTGCCCCAAAACTGCAGAAGATTCATTGATTGTTAAAAAGAGGGATTTTGTACTTTTTATGGTAGAAGTGATCAATTGTAGTGCTCAGACGACAAAGAAAACCGAAAACATCAAAAATAATAGCTAAAGCTGCAGAAAAACACCTTGAAGTGAGAGATTTAAACTGGAAAGCGGTTGAAAGTATAATGGGAAAATGAGTAGGACCGTCAGAAACTGGCAGAGTGACATAAGCATAAAGACAAATTAGTAATTATGAGGACAAATTTGATTATGTTTTTCATTATGTTGGGTTAAAACATACAGTTTGGATACCTATTATTTTTTTTCCAATTTTTCTATTTTATTCGAATTTTTCTGGGGAGTCTTGTTTCATGTTTCCTTGCTTAACTCCTTATCAGTTGGAGGCAGTAATGCACTTTAATTAGTTTGCTAACTGCCAACTGAGCAACCCCCCCCCCTTCAATTCTACAATGATGCAGTCCTGTGCCCGCTTGGAGAGAGAATTTAATTAATATGTTTCCGTTTTAGGAAGAGTTAAGCAAAAAAAATATTGAAAAGTTAAATCAATTTAACTTTTTACAAAAAATGAAAACAACATGTGGCCGACCAAAGAAACCACACCCCAAACAAACCCACTGCACACAAAACAACCAAAATAAACTAAAAACAGATGCTTTGTTTATCTGTTATTTTAGCCAATAAACAGGTAAAAATGACTCATTTTTACACAAAGTAAAACAAGAACGCAGCTAATGATTATTACTTGTGAGTAAAATGTGTTTGTTTTTGATCATCATACCATAGTTTCCTGCCTTTATGCAAACCAGAGATGTAATGTAAAAAAAAATTCCCAGTCTTTCCATACCCTTTTTTGCCGTTACAGTGGCTTTACAAAAAAACAGCACAGGTTTTGCTGCTCTGAATAATTCTGTCAAAAAGATCCTCATTTGCCAGGATTTGGACTCTTCTTGGCTTTTTTGCGTCTCCGTTGCCCCTTTTTCTTCTTGCAGTGTTCCAAGCACTGGGATGGCAGTTCAGATTTTGTTTTCTTTTTGCATCGGCATGATTTCCTCACCTGTGATGAGGTAACAACAAATTATGTATTAAAATGATGAAATGAAAACTAAAAATGCTGTAAATTCCTAGAAACTGATTTTTGAACACCATGTGACGATGAGGATTAGGAGTGAGTCATAAAAAATGAGTTATTGTTGGACAACATTTGAAGCCAAGCTGTATCTGGTTGATAAAGTAGGGGATTTACTTATGGCACATTTGTTATGCTTATTTTTCTTAGAATTTTTGCATGACCTATTATCCGTAAAATATTTGATCGATTTCTTTTTAGATGAGAATAAAGCTGGGGAAAAATGGTTTTAGAAAGTCTCTGCAATATCATTTAAAACATTTAAGTTGGCATAATAAATATTTATGGAAATGTTCTCTTTTGAAGTTTAAATTACACCAAAGAGGTAATTTTACCATAGATGCTTTAATTTGAAAATTACAAGAGGCCTATACATGGCCTATACATGGTCTCTGGATTGAACTAAAAGCGCACATCACCCTGACCACACAATCACCACCATGAAAACATTAGAGTGGTCTTTATTTTCATTGACAGGGAAATAAAAATGAGGAAAATTCCAGGGCAGGATGCAAAAAGACCCAAACATATAGCTATTGCTTTAATATATTGTATTCAATTAATGTATTACCAAGTGATCACCAAAAATAGCCCAAAGCACTAAAGATGCAGCTTAGCCATCACTGTAAAAACGACAACTCAAAATTGTTCACCTTACTAAGATTTTTGCATTCACTGACAATAAAATTGCCAGTTGGAACTTGAACTGTCTGTTGTGAGCCAGTTGAACTCACTTTCATAAGTTTCTGATGAAAAGTTCATCTTATTCTATAAATTAAGTTGAGTTTACTTTGAAGTTGTAGTTGACACCCAGTCCGAACGAGGTCAACTTATCTGTGCATGCTCATTTCAAATTTGTCATGGCAACCGGCTGCTACAGGGTTTCCATGGATTTTCCCAGGAGCTCCCTTCTAAAGTTTACATCAGCCATCTGGTCACACTGCTGGCGGTAACTTTCCCCGAGGACTCGTCCAAGAGAAGACTAAGGCACTGGTTTCCTGTCATTTCTGGCAATATTGCATTATTTGTAAGGTTTTAACAGAGTTGGAAAGTAAAAATATATATGCTGAAACCTGATTTGCTTTAAGCATAAGATTACTTGTTTTTTACATTGCGGAATTGTAAACCTGTTTTTGCCAAAGTGGTTCAAATAAACATGCCAAATTTTACTTGTTTACTGTCAGTGGATGATTTAATGGGGGGGGGGGGGGGGGGGGGGTAAAATAACTTTTTACAGATAATCTGAACTTAAAATAATAAGTTTTTTACAGACTTGAAAGTTCCAGTAACTTGAATTAAAAAAACTTAGTTGGCAGAACTTGAAAAACTTAGCTGACACAATTTAAGAAGTGTAGTTCTACAAAACTTAAAAAATTAAGTTGATGCCTTCAACTCAAAAATTCTGTGCAGTACCCTACATTTTGCTAAAATTGTATGGTGTAAGGTAAAAAAAAACTTTGTCCATTACATTAACAGGATTTAAAGTGTCTGGTTGCAATCTGACAATACAGTATGTGGAAAGGTTAAAGAAGTACAAAGATTGTAGCAGGAAACTATATAAATAAGTAGTGGCTTGAAAAGTGTGCTTTCGTTTTACATATAGAAAGTATGATGCTTATCAGTGTTGTCACATTTTTCCCACAACCCTTTCCGTTCAAAAGCAGCATGATTCCAACTCCTTATAAGCATATTTCAGAATATATCTTAAATGCATTTCTAAGAAGTTAGAAATATGTTGCTATATCTAGATAAATAGACAGACAGACAGACAGACAGATAGATGATAGATAGATAGATAGATAGATAGATAGATAGATAGATAGATAGATAGATAGATAGATAGATAGATAGATAGATAGATAGATAGATAGATAGATAGATAGATAGATAGATAGATAGATAGATAGATAGATAGATAGATAGATAGATAGATAGATAGATAGATAGATAGATAGATAGATAGATAGATAGATAGATAGATAGATAGATAGATAGATAGATAGATAGATAGATAGATAGATAGATAGATAGATAGATAGATAGATAGATAGATAGATAGATAGATTAATTAGGGTATCATTTAAAATTTGTCAAAAGAGGATTTTTCAGGCCGTCTTCTTATGCATGCATGACACAAACAACACATAAATGAAGAGGGAGCATGTTTGAGGAAGGAAGCAGCCAGCTCTTTTAATAATTTTTTGCTTTGCACTGTGCAAAACCACAGAAATACAAAGAAACACCAACACACGTACAGAAATAACTGGGACAAGAAACAAACATTGTGATGTCAGTTTCTGAGGCAGACTCCTCCAACTGAGACGTAAGTTTAGAGTTCCCCAGATACCGCTTATTGTTTTGAACTCATTTGACCCTGACAAAGACATATTATGCTCCACATTATGGAGGAGTATTTTTGAAAATAAATAAATAAATATAAAAATAAATAAATAGTTTGAGAACTCGAATAAAGTCAATATTAAATACATAAAACACTGTTATTCTGTGTTGCCTCATGGTTGTAAACTAAATTTTATTAGAGGCCTCTCTTAAAGATCTGATGGGATGCTGGAGAAAAAGGCCAAGTGTAATTAGCTAAGGTTAAAAACAGTTACTGATAATTGGTTATTGTTTTCCAAGATGTATTTGAGAAAAAAAAAAAAAAAAACATCTCTGACATGCAAATAAAGTTTTAAGATGTAGTGTCAAATTGTACGTAACAGTCAATAAGATTATATTTTGGTAAGAAATATTTAAAATCGTTCATCTATTCTAATCAATCCAAGTGAAATAGTATTCCCTTTCTTAGTATAAAAATTTTAGATCTTCGGTCAGTGTTCAGTGTAAGCATTTATAGGAACCCACTGATGGTTTTTAGGGCCATAAGCAGTTTCCTTATGACTCAGACCAGTCTTGTTCGAATCATCCTTATTGATTATCATCAAAATACTTCATAGAAGAAACTGCAAGAGCTTGTAAAGAGCAGAAGCTGAAAGAACTGAGACCAGATAATCAGTGGGTTACATTTTTCCAATGTGTCCACTGACTCCAAGATGAGAACACCAGCGGGTCTCTTGATCGGGCCCTCAGCTTACTGATCTTCTTCGGAATCAGAGAAGACAAAGAGCGTTCAGCCTGAAATCAAAGAGAAACCACAATCAGAGAAGAAAATACAACAGAAACTTCCTGAGAAATCCCTAAAACTCAGAGTCAGAAGTGTTTACCCGGCCGTCATCCCTGTACACGTATTCAATCTCATGCTCCAGACTGAAGAAGCTGTGAGGAGTTGACCAGCTGGAAGGCGGTTTGATGGTGACATTCAATTTCTGCCCCACGACCTGAGAACTGACAATCTCTGGGCTTTCAGGTACAACTGCAGAGATGGGAAACGACAGTAACAAAAATATGAACATGGGAAAATGCGTTTGCTGTTTATCTGAGAGAAACACATGGTGATTATTTTTAATCCAACAGTAATGACATGATTTCCTTCTCTTTGGAATAAGAAATTAATTCAGTGAAGAAAATAAACCACATTTAAACAGCCTAAAATTAAATTATCTCCTTTTACTTAATTAAAACCCTTTAAACAAATGAATAGGCATCTGGCATGGGCCTGGTCACTGGTCCAATGACTTATGAATTTGGACAAGTTATTCTAACCACATTCACACGTAAAGATACATTTTTATGTGGAGAGTTTCTAGTTATACCTTTCAACCACATTTACACAAATGGAAGGTTACGTCCTTTTGTATGTCTCTGTAACAGAGTTTTGCTCAGTGGTCATAGGCTAATTGATGATAAATATTTTCGCTCATTATGATTCAACTCACCAATCTCTCTGAGATAAAACACTTTGGTTCTCCTGAGGAGGAAGGGGTTGTCAATGGCCTCGGCAGTGACTTCCAGCGTAGTGTTTTCCTCAGCGTATGGTGAAATGTTGTGGGACAGCTCAAACGTTAATTTCTCATTCTCAGTCCGTCGATATCTGCTCACCCATTGGCAAGATGTTTGACCTTCACTGCTGCAGAAGCAACCAATATCACAGACGTTATATGGATAAATACCTGAAGTCTAATTTGAGATACATCTTTTTGATTTTTTTTTTTTATATTTAAATAAAGATATTGAATCTATTAATGATGCCATGCAGCTACGACCCTCTCTATGTTTATACAACTTTGAAATAAATCTTTGCCAATAAATTACCCATTTACTGTAGAGCTCTGACAGTCAGCTTTAGAGCTTTCTATTTCCCCTACATGACAAACATTTCCTTGTATGTCACAGCTGCTCTAAAATATTTTCTATGATCTAACCAAAGATAGGTGAAACTAAATGCAAGTTACTTTTTTTTTAATCATTTCCTTCCTCATAAAGTTCTTTACACATTTGCCCATCTTAAAAGGCATGCTTGCCATAGTTATAAATCAATATGAGAGGAGGACATTGATTGATAATTTAAAGTTCCCTGACATGCTGATCAACTTAAAAAGTGAAGTACAAATTATACAGTTACAGCTTTTAAGCTTTTTAATAATTGCTGAATCCAGTAATGCCAAAGTTCATGTAAACAGCCAGTGGTACTTGCCTTGCTTGTCTTTTCTATTTAGAATAGCGGCTAGAAGATATGACTCTGTGTGTCATATCCTATCTATAACACAAGGCAGCAGAAAGTCATGAATCTCTTTTAGTAATATTATCCACATGCTCCTACACATCCTGACTAAATCAAAAAGTACACTTAATAATTTGTTTAATAGAACTTTCTTTATTGCCTCAAGACTTTTAGCACCACTGCTTAAGCCAAACAATCTTATTTTTCAACTTATGTTTCACCTGCTTTACTTCCACGACTACATATGCTCAAATTAAAAGATTAATCATGAGTTTAAAAATATATATATATATATATATATATATATATATATATTCTAGGACTGATAACAATTTTGCCTATGGCTCTTTTAATACAATAAATGGATGTCTTTAACCTCATTAATCTTTACCATTCTGGGCCAACTCCAAGGCGCACCATTTTATATCTGCTGTCAGTCCAGGTGCAGTTGAAGCTACAATCATAGGACACTGCATGGCATGTGAGCAAAGCATCTGTAATAACACACAAGGAGAGTAAATGCAACGGCATCCAAAAACAAAGCACAAAAGACGACATGCCTCATAGTTTCTGTCACCAGTCCAGTCAGGTTCAGTTGTATAAAGAAATGTGACCCACCTATATCCTCTCCCTCCTCAGTTTCCTGTAACAGAAGAGTTGACGACAATTTTGTTTCCCCTCTCCAGCAGCTGTATTCTCCAAGCAGGGGTGTATCAACCTCCTTCACAATTAGATTTTGGTCCTTCTGCTCATAGAAGTAATCAAAATCTAAATCTTCGTCGTTCATCTTCCATGTCACAGGTCCAGCTATGGCTGAATCACAGGGAAGGGTGACAGAGTTTTCATTTCTTCTCACCACAACAACTGCAGAGATTCAGAAAGACGGACCCAGAGATTAGTTAAATTTACCAAATCTGCACCACTTTAATTTAGGTGCAAATGAGTATTGTGAAAAATCTAGTTTTAAAAGACCTACAGTGCTCAGGAAAGTGGGTGAGCTCTTGTGATGCAGTAATGCTGATAAGCAGAAATGCCGCTATCCACGACAATACCATCTGAAAAATTGGGGCATAACGGGAGAGTCAGAGAGCAAATTAAAGAAAAGAAAATGTTCTGGAAATGATTTAATCTCTAACAGTTATACTAATATTAAACAGTTTTGCAATAAAATTGACAACCACACCGAAAATATAATACTTTAATAGTTAATATGTTACATTTAAAATTAGTTTTTATGAAAAACTACAACTGTTCTATTCTAAGTCGTGAAATCTTACCATTTAGATGAAGCGAGTCTGTGGTCAAGATGAGAGATGATTGCACAGATTCAATCAGAGTGATCCTGGTGATGTATGCTCCAACTACTCACAGATCATGTTTTTATAGTGCAGTGTGGAGCATTCATCGTCATCTTCCTCCACACCTCCTTACTACAGCTTTTCTGAGGTGCGAAAGAAACTGACCCCTGGTATATTGATAAAAACCCACAGACAGAAATGGTTGGCATTTCCTCTTTTCTGCTTTGCAAGTTAAATTTACATATATTACTGTTTAGATACTATCTAGTTTCGACTAAGGCATAAAAAAGATAAGAGTAGTGTAATGTAATGTGCTGTTCAAATGAGGTGGGGGTTTGCCACTGACTGCTGTGCTAAAATAGAAAACGTTTCCACCACTGTATTTGAATACCAGGCTTAGTGAGCTACAATTTGGACACAGAAAAAATACATCTGACCCAACATCTTTATAGGATCAAACATTTATTTTACAGGCAAATCCTTTGATTTTCTATATGCCAAATTTAGATTGTTTTGGCTAAAGTCATAACTTAAAGTTTTACAAAAGACATAACCTCCTTTATAAGCTTCCCAATTAAGAATGCAGCACTTTTGATTCAAGCTATTGAACCTTATCTAAAACCAAAAACATTTCATAAACAGCAACATAAAAAAATAATTTGATCGCTCGCAGACCTCTTTACACCGTAGAATTAATAATTACTTGAACAACACTGGTCTCACAACATGAAGTATCCTTAAGAATCTCAAAAAAGAAAAGAAATATCTTGTCTTAATGTACAAAATTCACAATCTTACATTGTTTAAAGGCTTACAAAGCCAGATTGGGGGATTTAGGGCTCCTGTGGAGTGTAAATTATTATTTAATTTACACTCCATTTATTCTTAAAAGGAAGCAAGAACAGGAATGAGTGGCTGGAATGCCAACATTCATCCAAGAGGCTGGGGCAAAAATCCATTTCTTTTTTTTTTTTTTTTTGGGAAAACGGAGAGCTGGAGAAGCAAAGTACCCCCATTTGCTGAAAGTCATAGCTGAATAGTTCCGAAAAGTGAGAGTGTAGATCTGACCCTGTCAACTCAATTCAAATAATTTAAAATCCAAAAATAGTTTTTGATAGGATTATTGTAGTAACTCTTATAGGGGTTCAACAGCTTATTGCAGATATTGATGGCTTTAGACAGGAGGTACTTCCTGTAGAGGTCTGTTGCACAGGGGATCTGAAGAAGCCTCTGATGGAAGATACTCTGTTGTTGTATCTGTTGTTGTTGTATGACATATGTAATGTTCTTTAGTTTCATTAAACATTATACTTTCATCTCCAAATGTTCCAGATGTGTTTCCAGAAAAATACAGCCTTCTTTAATGGCTTTAAGCCATTTGCTCTGGGGCTGTTAACCCAGCAGATGAAGGTAGAAAGACAGACTTATAGAAGGTAAGCAGCTGAAAACTGAAGGAAGATTCCTTAAAAAGTTCAGTCTGCTCTGTCGCTTTCCGTAAATATCTTCACAGCTGTGTCTCCAGTAGAGTCTGTTGTCCAGGTCAAAACTGAAATTATTTTAGGCCGTCATCATATCTTCAACCCTCTCCCTTGTTTCTATTCATATTAAGCAGGGTTCTAGCTAAGCTATTTCAGCATAGTGTTCAAATAGGCTGAACATTTTCACTGCTACACAGTAATCAAACAATTTTCATAAGCAGGTTTTTTCATAAAAGCAGCCTGCACAGAGCATTGTTACGCATCAAGTGCTGAAAATCATTCAACCATGGAGACACCTCAAAATAAGCTTGAACTTGGGTCAAAGGTGGCTTTAAATACACAGCAGAAATCAAGTTTGTGAACCTCCACAGTGTTGTCTGCTTTTTCCAAATGACAGTGGGCTTGTTGAAGCAGCTGTATGATAGCATGTTTTTATTTCTGGACCAAGGCACTTTGCAAAAATAATTGATACTAATTAAAGAAACGTATTTAAAGAATTAAATAATTTTGTTCTAATTAAAATCTGTCCTATATTTTCGGGGGAAATGCTTTTTCAAAACACTGTGTTAGTTTACAAAAAAAAAATCTTCATCTTCAGCAAAAATAATTACCACAACAAATATTCTTCAATATATAATGCAGTCAGAGAACATGCTTTTAGACTGGAAAAAGAAAGAGACTGGCTAAAGGATTTCCCAAACCACAGATGGTTTGGGACCCTTCCCTGTATGCGAAGTATCACCTACCTAAGGCATAAAGAATGAAAACAGAAAGAGAGCGTCATCTATTTATCATTACTCATAACCTTTCCATCATGAGTGAGCAATTCACTGTTACTGTATGAATATTTGGTGTTACAACTTTTTTGTTTTCACCCACCTTCCTATTTCCTGTGTAAATTAGCCTTCTTTAGCTTTGGATGTATGATGTTAAAATCTTGCTTAGCCAAATGGCATGCAGACTATTCGGTCAGTGACACAAAAATAACTGAGTATAATCTTTCAGTTCCTCAAAAACCTGAAAATCTTTAGTCACATCTGAGTGGGGAAAACATGCAAATGTTAGCGTGCAAACGTTCACCCGTTTTAAATAATGTTCAACAGCTTTAGGTGCAAAACACAACATTAAACTGCATTTTTAAATACTCTACAAAAATCTGGTATATTATTTTTTAGGAAAACATCCATATCATAATTAGAAAGGGAGAAACCGTACTTTAATACATAGAAGGTTAAATGTTGGCTCTGGTAATTGCTTCACTGGATATGATATATACCAGTGACTGTTAAGCTTGGAGCTTCACTAATAAATACAGGATTTTGTTCAACAAGCCTTTCTGGAATCACAAGAGTGATAACATTAACAAATTACAGTCACATTTGTTCTAGCCACTAAAATCTCAGTTAAAACAGATAGTTATCCAAGAACAGTATAGGTAATATAACCAGAAAGCTTTTTGATATGGCTTTTCTTACCTCAATTTTATCAGCAAACACAACTCCAGCTATTCTGCAGAAAAAAAATAATTGTAGCCAGCATTGGATCCTTGTACAATAAAATAATGCACCAATTTTATATACAGACTGTCCACACCTACAGAGTGCGTGGACTGCCTTTCCATCCCAGAATCTGTGCTGCAAGGATTCTGAGAAATCACATAACTTTCCAAAGGTTTATCTTATCATTCAGCACTTTTTCTTCTAGATCACTGCATTTTAATGTCAATATAGTATCTCCTTTTCCCTCCATTCCCAAATCTTTTTATACAAAGAAAATACATTACCCACTGTTGGGTAACAATTAGCCAATTACTAGTCTGAATCTGTCTCCTTCAAAAACAATAACTGGTGGCAGTTTATCTTATCAGTAAGCTCAAACCAAAGGGTTCAAGTGCACCCAGGAAGGTTTTATTATGAGCTTTCAGAAATGGCTGAAGAATTATATGAACACTAGTGCAGATTCAAAGAAGCATTTTGAAATTAAGTTTGAGTCACTGTAATCCTAATGCATAACTATTAAATGTTACAGTTTGCGTAAACATATTCGCCCAAAAGCCATTAACTGCAGTTTAAAAGCAAACATTTAAAGATCTTATTTTCCCCTGTTACTTTCATTCAAACTGTGCAGAGAAACACACAGCCATTAAGAGCATATGATGGCAGGCAATGCTTCCTTAACAGATTTAAGTTTTAGGGGAAACAACAGAAATTAGAAAATAAGGGAGTTACTTTCTGTTTTCATTATAAGCCCTAGTTTGGAATTTGGAAAAATCCCGGTTCATCTATTCCTTGAACAGATCCTTAATTCTGCCTTTTTTGTAGATTGTACACTTGGATCATATATTTCAAGTATAGATTTATTTATTTTTTTATTGCCAAACATATAAAACTAAAAGACCCATGCACTTAGGACTAATTTTTTTTTTACTATTCAGTGTCCTTAATTTTCAACACTGCATCAAGATTTAAAAAGACCTATGTAAGAACATCTGGGTTAATTTACCAGTCCACTTACCATCATTTTGTTCCATTTCTGTTTCCCAAGAAAAGCCTATTAAAATTAAGATAACTCGGCAACTAAAAATATGCAGCTTCAGAGGCGAGGAAGTATTCATCAAGGACCTATGTCTTACTCAGATATTCTTCAAATATCAGTGCACTGAAGTTCTAATCAAGTCTTGAGTCTAGATTTAGCTCTAAATCAAAGGTACTTAAAAAAAGACTGTTTTTTCTTATTCACATCTTGAAAATAAAAATGTTTTGGGATGTTAACGCTTATGTTCTTTTCCATGAAAGGAACAAAGTCTTATTGCAACCTTCATTAGTTGTCAGTAATAAATCCATAAAAAGCATAATAAACTTAACTTTTGAAGTATTAATAGCAGGTTTACACAATAAATCAGCAGTCATAATTATGTAAGATTGAAGAGGATAAACTGTTGCAGTGATTTAAAATATGTAAAGACAAAGTCATGTTGCATATGTAAAAGAAACTGAAATTTTATTTTTATAAACACAATCAATTTCACCAGTACATTTTGCAAGGTAGCTATTACAACACAGAGAAGGCAGCATCACACAGAATATTGTGCACTTTCTATGAAATTCAGTTATGATTTTCAGAAAAAAAATGTTCTTGTTAAATCCCAACTGTTACATTTAACACCAGATTTTTTTAAAGGCAGAACAAAAACCGATGACATGACAGCTGCAGTGACAACGTAGAGATGTTCTGTTCTAGTTGGCCTCATTCTTTGAAGCTTCATCAAAGTTTTCAACGAGATCTGAAAGTGCAAAAAAAAGAGGAAGTTGGTGGTAAGAACAAACCAATTCTAGTGATAATGGGAATAACATAAAAAACTATACAAACCTGATCAGACTAAAATAGGGACCATTGTGTGTTAACCAGCTGTCAAAAGCTTGTATTTTAATGCTACAAACAATCTATCCAGGTCAGCAGTGATACAAAACAGAAATGTAAGCATGGATTTTCCCCATCTACTTTTAAGGGTAGGCTTAAAACTTTCCTTTTTGATAAAGCTTATAGTTAGAAGGGCTCGGGTTATCCTGAGCTATCTCTATAGTTATGCCGCTATAGGCTTAGACTTCTGGAGGACACAGGGACCCCTTTTTCATCATTCTGCTTCATTCTATCTCTAATCTCCCACTCTACAGAATCTGTTAGTTCAATCTCTTTTGTTATGCTCTCTCTGCTTTTCCTCATAGGAGCTTCCCCACGTCTGTTCCCGTTTGGCTGTAACACCATCCTGGAGAGAAATATCAGCTGAGCTGCTGCCATCAACACCTTTGTTTATAGATGTTGGAGTATGGCCTGTTTTTCAGTGTAGTCCTGTTTCACTGACTGACTGTGTTTCCTGGATGGGGCTGGTGTAGGTACCAGATCTGCTCGGGTGGTCAGATCTGCTCAGGTTCTGTGCATGCAAGTGACGTTATGCTGCATAATTGGCTGAAGATCACCACTTGACGTAAAATATATTGGTTGACCAGTCAACGGTAAAAACTTCACGCAGCGTCCATGTGCTAAGTCGGGAGCATTTGTAGCCTTAGTGTGTCTAATGACCGATGAAGTTTTACCTGATCGATATAAAACTTAAAAAAAATCTCTTTATGGTGAACAAAGTAACTGTTAAGAGCATGATATAAAGGGAGAGAGCTGGGTAGCGCTGTGGCTAGCTGTGCTCAGTAGCTAACAGGTTAGCCTCTTTTAGCCCGGTCAGTTAGCCATATTAAGCTATACTACTTTTGAATTTGTATCAACAACAACCGTTCATTTCCTAAAAATAGAATAACTGTTTTATTAGTCTAAAAGAAGAGGAAGAAAAAAAGTTGGCATATATTGGCGTCATAAGAAGCGGCGGGGCCCCGGGCAGATCTGACCGCCTGAGCAGGTCTGGTACCTACACCGCCTTTTACAACTGCCTTTTGTATCTCTGCTTCCGTCTCCTTGAACCCCAGTCTGCCTCAGCAAATGGCCGCTCACACTGAGTCTGGTTCTTCTGGAGGTTTTTTCCTGTTAAAAGGGAGTTTTTCCTCCTCACTGTCGCTACAAGCAGGCTTAGTGTGAGGGATTGCCTTCGAGTCATTGAGTCGATGCAATCAACTTTGAATCAATTTGACTGTATAATCTAGTGGACTGTAAAGTGCCTTGAGATGACATGTGTTTTGAATTGACGCTATATAGATAAACTGAATTGAAATGTAAAATCAAACCAAAAAAGATATTTTTAATGTTTTATTTTACATTGAGATAACCGTTTCCAGGGCTTATGCATTGCGGCAAAAACTATTTCCTTATCTAGATTACATGTAAATGAGCTAACTTACCAGGAACTTCATCATCTTCCTCTTCAGCGGCAACTATGGGTGCTTTGTTCTCGCCAACTATAAGGAAAGGAATTAAATAAGAGGACAGCACACGGAAAAACATGTCTAAAAACAGGAAGAGTTTTTGGTGTGTACCTGGTTTGGGTAAGGTCTCTGCTAGTCTCCTGAGGCTAGTAAGACTATCAGCTCCCATCTGGTTGAGGATTCCAGGAAGCATCTCTGTTAGCTGTTTGTTCTCAGCATGCCCTGTGATCGTAAAGGTGTTGGCAGCCAAGGAGGCCTGAACCTTTGGGTTATTGAAGTGGATCACTGTTCCCTGATTAGTGAACATATTCACCTACAGGGAAAACAAAATTTGAGTTAAGAAATTGCAACAAATAAAACAGATCTACAGGAAAATAAAAGACAGCTTTACATGTTGAGTCAATTTCCAAACAGCTTTAAGTCCAGTTACCTTCCTTAAAAATAATTTCTACTGGTTTCAAAAGCTGACTGCTCGATCTTAGACCAATTATGCTGAATTTCATGTGCATATGGATCTCAATATAAACCAATACCAACTACTGAATCAAAGCTTTCTCCAATCTAAGAAATAAGATGGAAAGAGTAACATTGATGTGACCATGAACCAACTGTAGTTGTCTGAATGACAATCAGTGATGCACACAATAACCACAGACGCAGCATATATTGAACAACTATAAATGTGTTATGTCATATCAGCATTATTGAATAAAATGATATGCCAATGTATACCAACACTAAATTATTGTCCAGCCCTACAGCTTATGATTTTCAGACACTCTACCTTGTGCTGATTCATTTCATAACATCCCTATAGATTATATTAATGATTGTTGTTGTAGCATGACAAGATATGAAAACGTTTTTTACTATACCTCCTCAATACCAGAGATACTGTTGACTCCTAGTTTCTTCAGTGAAAACTGCAGCTTCTTGTCATCTGCGGTAGCTGTTCTGTGCACCACCTTCTTCTTTCTTCGAGCTGACCCCTACAACATAGAGTAATTAGGTTAGTTAAATGAGTCAAGAGACTTCATAAATATCACCTGGCAGTATGCAGGCAACTTACCTTGCCACCTATGCGGACCTGTGCCTGCAATTTGGCAAGCTTCTCCTGGTTCATTATCGACTCCTTCATCTGACGAGTAAAAGAACGGACAAGAGTTTAAAAAATATATATATTCAACTGGTATTGCTAAGGCTAGGCTGAATACTAGATTTACCACAATTTAAAAAAATTAGATTGTTGCAGAAAAAAAATAAAAACCTTTAAATTGGCTGTTGTATAGTTACAATTTAAGTATTTTTACTGATTTCCAATAAAAAGCCAAAGCCCAGAGTTAGTTTCTAGGGATGTTCTGATAAAACTTTTCCATTTCTGATACGACACATATCGCACCTTTTATATTTGGCCGATACGAACATTGACCCGATACAATATTAGTAAGATTCATACCACCTTTTATTACTAATTTTGTACTATAGAATTTAGGAAAGGTTTGATCAAGTAATATAACTAAAAAAGGGGACAAAAGTCAAAAAGAAAATATATGAAAACAACTGACCCACGTAAAGCTAACAACCAGTAACAGAAGCAGACCATTTATATCAGAATGAAAAATATCAGAGACTTTAGAAGCAGGACATTAAGATCCCATATTGTTTTTTTGGACAATAAATTAAGCACAAAGTAACACAGCTCTCTCAATAACCCTGTTGCTGAAAGCAACTATACTTTCCCTTTAAGAAAAACAGAATTGGCTGTCTGTAAAAAGGTTTTGGAAACTATAATTGAAGCAGCACCCATTACCTTTATATGGTTAAAAGCATTTAAGTTAACAGACACCTGGAGAATTTTCTGTTAAGCAATTTTTGTTTTAAAAATTCTAGCTGAGCCGATAGCTTCACTAAATAAAAATATGAGATACGTTTCAAAGTCTTTTGATACTCTATAAAGCACAGCATGGCAAATATTTAATATTTTTTAATAGACACTTAATTGCTGTGTAAGAAGTTTATTTTTTATTTTTAAATCTATATTTTTTATTTGCTTTGTATCAAGATAAACAAAGCATACAAATGGGTCTGGGTATTTGGGCCCTTATGCTATTCTATTCCAATAAAACACATTTTTTATTTATTTATTTTTATTTTGGAGACATACGAGGGGCACAAAACACCTAAATTCTAATGAATACAGAAATTACCCCAAGGTATTAATACAGTAGTTCACAGGAATCAGGAGACACACTCAAACTGAAAGCATCAGAGATAAATCCCCCTAAAATATCCCCTCAGTTTTGCCCTTTCCAACTAAATAACAACAAGAATGCACAGCTGTCATACAGCCCTGAAAATAGCCTCTTACTTCAGAGCATGTGTGCAACTCCTGCTTTAGTCATAAGGAAGAGGTGGGCAGCCACTGCTTTAGCCTAAGAAATGCTTATGATTCTGAGGTGAACAAGCTTTATTTAAAGAGAGAAAAAAATAGGGCTAGTGAAAGGCACAGAAAAAAATCTCACAGTTTCACCCCAATTGACTCGTTTAACTGACTAGACATACACTATTTTGCAACATCAGTTAGCAAAGCAGCTAACAACTACATCGGGCCTTCTTAAACTCGCATTCAGGCTGAGCTAACACATATGTTAATCCAACGATAACGCTCACAGTGTGGTACAGGACTAATTTATAAACAACATACTTATGTCAGATTGATATGACACGATTAAATGACGGGAAAAAGCGATAAACAGACCTGGGAGTGTGTACGCACGCGGCTCTCGCAGTGGGCGATGGAGGCTGAAAGGAGAGAAACCCGGAAGTGACGCAAAGTAGTTATCGAGCGAAACATTTAAAAATTATTGAGTTGTGAAAAAAAATAAAAGTTTTGAATCTAGCTGATAATTTTAAAGGCTCTGGTTAAATAATTACGAAAAATATTTAGTAAATAAGACGTATTTAAAATACTAATTACTGTCATTGCGGAAGTAGTTACAGGCAATCATGGCGCCCTCCTGTCCGCCGACAGGCAACGTGATTCCGCGTTAAAATCTGAAATTTTTTCCCACTTAAGGCAAAGAAAGTCTATATATTTCAAAATTAAACCCAATTCTAGGGGAAAGGTATCTACGCTTCGGGACCTTTCTTTCTTTTCTAAGGTGAGGATTTTCTGGAGCCAGTTTCGTGTGAAATTGTAGTCGTTTAAACAGTCTGTATAGCTTTGTTTGGTGATTCGCTTTAAAGAGCACAAAATCCATTTATTTTTCAGTTGTTTTGACCGATCTAAAGATATAGTTAACTTCACCAGCATGACCCTTCGTGGTTCTACTGTCTGAACCACATCATGTTGTTAAAACAGGAGCGGGAGTCAACGTGCTTAATATTCCGACATCTCTTTCATCTGGGAAAAAAAAAACCATATTATAATTCTTCCTGTCTTTAAACTTTTAGACTCAGATTCAGTCAAATGTTGGCTTTTGAAACGACAAAAAAAGTACTTTAAATTCCAGCTCAAAGGGGTTGGATTGTGTAGTTCCCTTTTAAATAGAGTAACAAAGTAATATAGCCTTCCAAGCTAAATATCTAAGGTTTCCCTTAATACAAGGAAATCCTTCAGATATCAGCCCAAGATAAATATCTTTATTACACCAGTTAAGTGAATACAACAACTTTTACAAACCTTTTGCAATATAGAGTGTGAATAATAGATTTTTTTTTTTGTTATTGTAACTATTTAAATGCCAATACTAATGTGGTTGTGCTTTAGCTCCATAATCATAGACCTATTATCCTAATTTTATTAAGAAGTTGGTAAGTCTATTAAAGGTAAACATACATAATTTAAAATAAATTGAATTAATACTTAAGTTTTTTATTCATTTTTATAATTTATATTTACCTCATATATAGACGCATAGAACTAACTCTGGACCTTTGACTCAGCTATTTAAATGAGTTTTAGTCTGTTAATTTAAAAAAAAAAAATTTTTTATCAGCTTAAAATGACAAAAACACACTTTTTAAATCCCAGTATTTCTCATTTGAATATTCTATATGTAGATTATTCTGCAAGCACCATATAGATGGCTTCATTCAAACCCACTAAAATCCCGGTGTATCCAAAACTGGGAGAGAAGGTCACACAGGATACTCTTTACTGGAAAAACTACAAGGTGAGAGGCTGAAATAAAATCTTAAACAGTTTGTGATCCTTTTGAATGAATGCATTTGCTGACATGTTTCCCCTCTTTATCTCTCTCATAGGTTCCTGTCCAGATAAAAGAATTTGGAGCCGTCTCAAACATTGACTTCTCTCCTGTGGCTCCGCATAATTTTGCTGTAACAGCCTTTACAAGAGTGAGTTGACGCTGTTTGGGTTGATTCTAGATAGTTCACATGAAGAAATTGGAAATTTAAATTCTGTATTCATTTAAACTCCATTATATGAATATCTTATTGATGTTGACAGTGACAAATATGAAGAACAATTATTGAAATTTACAAATCGTTTTTCCTTCATTGATTAGTTATAATCATTTCAATAAAATATTTTCTTGTTTTTCTTTTTCTTTTTAGATTCACATCTATGGGCCCTTCTCCCAAGCGCCTGTTAAGACATTTACTCGTTTCAAGGACACTGCTTATTGTGGAAGGTTCAGGTCGGACGGCCAGCTTCTTGTAGCAGGATGCGAAGACTCAGTTGTTCGACTTTTTGATGTCAGTGGCAAGGTGGCACTTAGGATGTTCAAAGGGCACACAAAGTAAGCTTTTTACATAAATTTTTTGTCCTATGCTGAAAATGTAAAGTGCCAGAGAATGAACACCTTTATAAGTTGCTGCAGAGTTTATAGTAATGTTTGGTTAAAGCTTTTGCCTTACTTAGAGAGGTATAATATCTATAAGGTCCTGAGTAAATAAATATTCTTCACCTTAAGTTAAAGGTTATTTCTTTATCACTCAGTTTTATCTATCTTAAATAAACTAGATATTAGCTGGATACTGGTAACAAGGGATACCAGAGGTTTTAAGAGCTACAGTTTCAAAAAGGCTAAAATGATGAGCATTATAGTATGTTTCTGTTATTTAGCTTTCTTATTATGTCATGAAAGAGAAGGTGCTTCAGTTTTGCTACAAACTGTGAGTCACTGGCATAAAGCAGGCTTGAACCCTTTTTTTAACCTTAACTTATGCCTTTAAAAAATAATAATAATAATAATAATTGAATGGAGGAAGCTAAGAGGGCTTTAATCATCCCTTTTAGAGAATCGTTTTTGCTGCACATTGAATAGTATTTTGTTTTTCCTTATGCCCAAAATTTTTAAGATCATGTTAAACATCCATGTTTTATGCTCTCCTCTAAATAAAGTAGGGCAGTCAAGATTTGGCATTTTGAGCCAAGATTATTTTATAGTGAGAATAACATTGGCCTTTGTATAACAGGAGCTTTATATTATTTACTTACCAATAATTAAACCCTCTCCACTGTGATCAGTTAAATCAAATGTGAAGTTTAACACTTTTAAGTCTAAAATTAATGCTTGAGCTGTAATTATGTTAACATTTTTAAATATCACTTGACATCTAATGGATATTTTGTATGGCAAAAATCTTGAATGATGATTTCTTAAGTGATCCATCGACTGAAATTGATGCTGATCCAAAGAATTCTGACAACATGCTACCTGTTGTTCTGTAATCCCACATAAGAAAGGTCAACTAAAATACATTTAATTTGAATATTTTTCTGTTGGTTTTTCTTTACTCAGGGCTGTACATGTCACAGACTTCACATCAGACCGTTACCAGATCATCACCGGGTCTGACGACTACACCTGCCGGCTGTGGGACATCCCGAATGCAGCTGAGCTCACTACTTACCAAGAACACACGGATTACATTCGCTGTGGCGTTGCCAGCAAGCTGAACCGAGATCTCTTCATTACCGGTGAGTTAGAATGTCCTTCTGTAGAAGTGTGGGGAAATGCCAAAGGGGCAACAGGAAGTTAACCTTTTCGCTGATTAACATTAATATCTGTTGCCTTCTAGGTAGTTTCTATCTTGATGCAAAACAAAAATAAAAGCAAAGGGAGTCCAAATGTTTCCTCGTCCAGTTGATTTGAATAACCAATAAACAATTTTTTTTCTTTCTTTTTTGCTCCAGGATCCTATGACCACACTCTGAAGGTGTTTGATGCCAGAACAGATAAGAGTGTGATGACTATGGAGCATGGGCAGCCGGTGGAGAGCCTCCTTCTTTATCCCTCTGAGGGACTTCTTGTCTCAGCAGGTTGTCAGCCTTATTGTTACCACTGATGTTAAAGTTTAGGTTAGATAAAGCTCTAATTTTTATTCTACCAAATATAACCAAAAGCTACTATGAAAATGCACGCGTCTATTGAGAAGTAAACCTGGGGAGCAATTGGGGGTTAACGGTCTTTGCTCAGGGACCCAGAGTGTCTGTGGGAGTGGGGCTCGAACTCAGAACCTCTGGATTCCAAGCTCCATGCCCTAAGCACTCGGCTGCCACTCCCCTACAATAAACATGTCATTACATCATAATTAATATGTCTTTATAGTTTAGTCAGTGAGAAATGTTCAAGGGGTGGACCACCATGTAATGCGACAGATATTTAAGTAGCCAATTTAGACAGAGCATCTATCAAAATCCTTCAGGACCGAACAGAAAGCAGCTGTTTAGTGTTTAAGCTGAGCTCCTTTACAAGATCCGCACTGCTCTGTTTAACTCTATTAGGTTTAGTTGTATTGTTTATTATAAAGCTAGAAATAAATTCAGCTTAGGAGCTAAAGCAGCCATTATTTACTAATGTTAAAAACCAACAACCAGCACTTGCATTGCATTAGCTGCAGCAATATTCCCCAAATATTTAGAGAACCTTTACTGGTACCCTAGGTATAGCCATAAAAAGTTTTTACATATTGTTTCATTGCTTGATCTAATTTAACAATAATAAAAAAACAAAAACATAGTATTGCATAATATACTCACTCAAATTTAAATCTTATTAGTTAAAAAAAGGCTAAAGTAGGTTGTTATGTAACACAAACATCTAAGATACAGTTTAGGTTTTTCAGCTTTTTTTGATCTGTTTTACAAGGTAAACATGATAATGATTGTTTTTTTTTTTTAGCATTTTATTGTTTGTTTAGACATCAAAGAAGCTATAGGTTATAAGTGGTGTATAAACACACTTTATTTTTAAGTTAATTTGCAAATATGTAGAATAAATCCTTAAATTGCACATTTTGGTTGATGTCTTCTCCTAGGTGGGCGCTACGTCAAAGTGTGGGATCTGTTAAAAGGTGGCCAGCCTTTGGTGTCTCTGAAGAACCATCATAAAACTGTCACCTGTTTGGCTCTCGGCAGTAACGGACAGAGGCTGTTGTCTGCGTCTCTGGACAGGTAGAAGAGCTTCAAGATATAGTAAACTGTAGACATAAAATCAATACTATACATTATTTAAATCTGACACGGTCAATTAAAGGTAGTAAATATGTACTTTATTAGTCACTTTCTTTGCAATCGTGTGTATTAAAGGTGTATACACATTAGAGTGGAAGTACTAGACTCGTTGTTGCCACCCTCTGTAAATAAGAGGAATGAATGAAACAGTTTGAATGAAAGGGCTGTGTTTGTCTTTCAGGCATGTGAAAGTCTACAACACAACCAGCTACAAAGTGGTTCACAACTTTGACTATGCCGCTGCAATCCTCAGTCTGGCTTTGGCTGTAAGGAAAACATCATGTTTTTGTGGAAAAATGCATTAAAATAAATGAAACCTTAATAATTATGTTGTAGCAGCTTTCAGATCAGAGTAGATGCGAATCAGACATGCTTCCCTAGAGCTGAAGGTCACAGCTTTCCTTTCTGTTTCAGC